GTTATCAACACAAAACTATTACTGCGACATATCATCTGTGAGAGAAAAAAAAGTTATTTGTAACTAAGTCATAGTGACCTTTGACCTACATTTGAAAAACTGAAGTTGGTGCTGATATCTCGAATTCTAGAAGAGTTGGTATAAATTTCATATTTTTTTCGAAATCACTATGAAAAACTGCCATGAGAATGTGAAATTCCTATTTGAATATTTTCATAAATAAAGAAGTTACGGAGGAGACATGAAAATGATAAAAATCTGATTTTTGCGTATAAAACAAAAACGAATAGATTTTATCAAAATATTTTTTCTTATTATAGTTGGCCTTGACAAACTCCACATTTGGTGTCATTTAACCGACTTCGTATCTCTCACCATTAAAAAGATACCCATGGTGAGCATGGTAAGTGGGACACACTGTATATTCGATGACTCACATTATTTTGGCAACACATACTTCAGTAGGAATCACCCGAGGTATCACCATTCAATATCAACAATTATATTAGTGCGAATCTCGGTGCAAATTTAATACACGGAATGCTTCATATGGAATCCCACAGAATTCCACATGGAATCTACGGAATTTTCCAGAGGGTTTGCCCTCATAAAAAAATACCTGTAATAGTTATTTACGGTTATTCATACATACCGGGTGTCAACGAATCTATTAAACAAGTAATATCTTCTAGACCATTAGGTGTATCAAAACGAGATTTGGTATAGGTAAATGGTATGTGAAGAGGAGAGTTTTCGCATATCTTTCACTTTCCTGTCACTTCCGGTTTCACCGGAAATTTCTCCGGTTCTAAATTTTTAAATGGAACACGCCTACTTAATTTTATGGAATTCACTTTTGAAATTACATCTAGGTAGCCATGATCGGAAGTAAACTATATGGGGATATGTCAAAGAAAGGGTCTACTATGCAACAGCCCCAGCCACTTTCGAAATCTTAGAAGAGAGGATTCTACAGGCATTTAGAAGTATAACGCCACAAATGTTACGAAACGTGTTGAGAGAAACAATTGAACGAGCTGAAATGTGTCTCGAACAAGGAGGAATGCACTTTTTGAAAATTTACTATAGTGAAAACTTTAAGAAATTAGGAAATTGAATGAAATGTACGTGCATCGCTGAAGTTATTGTTGATTTTGTTAAATTTGTTGATCCAATAGCAAATAAATTAGTATCTTGTCTTATTCATATCTAACATACTTGTCACTAAAACTTCGCGATTGTGATTTTTCTGATATCACCTGAGGTCCTTAGATTAGTTTACTTCCGATCATGGCCACCTAGATGTTATTTCAAAAGTGACTCCGAAAAAATTGAGTATAGGCATGAAAACTTTCGAAACTGTCACATTCTGATCTAGAATTGTATCAGAAATCCAAAAATGTTACAATATACAGGGTGTTCCATTTAAAAATTTAGAACCGGAGCCATTTCCGGTGAAACCGGAAGTGACCGGAAAGTGAAAAATATGTGAAAACTCTCCTCTTCACACACCATTTACATTTACCTATACCAAATCTCATTTTGATACACCTAATAGTCTATAGAAGTTATGACTTGTCTAATAGATTCGTTGACACCCGGTATATCAAGGGCATTAAAGTAGGCTTTCATCGACCGCAGCCACCGCTCGAGCTATTAACACGCCTAGGTCCATAAAAGCAAGTTACGCCCGAAATACATACAACATTTTATGCACGACCGTTTTAGACTCGGGTTTAGACATTTGTTAAATGTCAATATGGAATAAATTAATGATTTTGAATTCATTTGGCCGAATTATGCATGCCACCGGCGAAAAAAGATCGAATGGTAGTCCACTAGAAATCACTAGAAAATCAGTGACATCACTTAACTGCCCGATAACCAACTTTACCGCCCGTTGTACTCTTTTATCGCCACAGAGTGCTGAAGTGCTACTTCACGCCCGGTCGTTTATACGAGGCCTTCGGGCAGGCATAGTATAGGTACTTTACCCGAGACTTTACCTACGTTTACCTACGCTTACCTACAATAGATAATGCAGTGATTGGTTAGTCTTGTTATGAATGATAAAGCAGTATAACAAAGAAGGTTGAAAAGAGCACCAAAAACAAGAAATCTCAATGCAAATAGGTAAATATTGAATCCAAATGAATCAAAGGGAGAGAGAATCAACAGATGGGTACTTATATATACCATATACTATACATACAGGGTGAGTCAGTTATTTTGTAGCAGGACAGGACTTCAACACCATATTTTATGATAAAAATCTCATGTAAACAGGTATATCCGTAGGAACATTTTTTCCCGAGTTTTTTCTTATATAACTACAGGTGGTGTGATATTTTTTTTTGTTTTTCTAGTTTTGTCACCGAGTTTCATACACACCGAGGCTTATGAAAGCTCTCGTGAAAGCTTTTGATCAATCCAATTAAGTCTTCTAGTCAATTACCTATTAAAAAATGTCAAATAGAGTGTGTTCGAATCTCGGTTCGAAAACTGGAGTTTTATCACAAGTAAATTATTTTTGGCATTCATCTCGAAATCAATACAGGTTTCGAAAAACATATGAAACAGCAAAAAGGTTTCAAATAGAACAGTGAATCTAAATTAATATTTCATTAAAAGCAGAGGCAGAACCGAGGCAGAACGCATAAAATCTCAAGAGGGTTAAATTTAAGTATACAACCCCCAAGATAAGTGTATCACCGAGTGTATCAGCCTGTATAGGTAATCGAAATCGCCTAATTGAGTTAACTAAGTGTAATAGGTATACCAAATTTCAATTAATTATTTAGAAAATTGCTTGGAAAATTGTAACTCGGAGAAAACATTGAAAAAATCTCAAACTTTGACTCCCTCTGGTATATCCTCGGGTTTATCGTAAACTCGATCGGAAATGGATAAGAAAAATTTTAGAACAATTTCAGAACAATGACACCTGTGTTGCAGCGAGTGTTGCAGGCATCTTTTTCAGGCATCTTTATAATTCTCTTGAAGTAATCAAATATCTGTCAGTCTAATTAGGTATGTGATTTGATTTTAATAAATTGCAAATTTAGTGGTTGTTTAGTAATTTACGTAACCGCGAAGTCGAATCATAGATTAACAACTCTAATCTATGGTCGCATGAAAAATGAAAGGACAAATCCGACAAATCTTTCTCGGAGACGGTCGAGGAGACGGTGCATGTTATTGGCCATCAACAGTGTATATAATATATATGTGATATATATCCGGGAAAAAAGTACCCACTTTTTTTCCCGTGGGAAAAATGTAATTTATGAAATGTTACATTGTATAGCCTAATAATAATAATAATAATAATAATAATAATAATATGCTTTATTGTCTGAAGAAGAATCTTGTTGACAAAGCTAGGTCAGATAATATTGTAAAAACAGGTTAAAATATAACGACATAAAAATACGTGACAAAATATAGTCAAAATAAATACCACATTAAAATACTAAAATATCACAACTCAAACGTATCACTCTCGGTATATCACTATAATATTCCTGCAAACTGTAATAGGGTCTATCAGAGAGGAATTTTTTGACTTTCTTACTGAATTGACAGTCATTCAGACTTGCTGATCTAATATCAACTGGCAAGTGGTTGTACATTTTTTCACCATTATAGTATATGGAATCTTTAATGAACTCTCTTGTGGGTGAGGAAGTTTCAAACTGAAATTTCTGTTACGCGTGTTATGATGGATGGGAGTTGTAGTGAATTTCAACTTGTGCTTATTTATCAGGCAAACAGATTCCAGAATGAATAGTGCAATCACTGTCAATATTTTATTATTGGAAAATAAAATTCTGCAAGAATCTCGAAGTTTGACATTACACAAATACGTTATCGCTCGTTTCTGTAGAATTAACAGAGTTTTTAAAGACGTTGGACTGCACACTCCCCAAAAAGGTATTCCATATCGTAATTGGGAATCTATTAGTGAATAATATACCATCTTGGCAGTATGGAATCCTAATTCCCTGTCAACAGAGATGAAATCTCGAGTGAAATCTCTAATTTTCTTCCCGTCACAGAAAAAAGATATATTATTTCGTAATTGATGAAGCATCATTCAGTATACCTAAACCTCGACCTAAACCTAATACTAGTAGGTATCATAATTATATGAAATACTCGATAAAATATACCTGAATGAGGTAACACATTTTCCTAAAATGTGAAAATTCCGAAAAATTCAATAAACTACAATGATTAAGTACTAATTATTTCCTGTTATGATAGCTGTTTATTGGGATAGGTACTCGGATAGGTACGACTCGGGATGCGATGGAAAAATTGAAGTGAATTTGGGGATATTTTTTCGAAATTCAAAGAATGAATCACTGAATCAGTATACCTATCCCATGCTCCCAAAAAATTTCGGGAACATGCCCCTGCTCGTGTAACCTACAGAGACTAGTATCTAAAACATTATTTTTTCTTGCTTTTCTTATTGTTTCTATTTTCAGATCATTTTTATATCAGTTGCAACAAACTGAGAACATAGTATGTAACTGAATAATTCATAATACTTATAATAAGGTGATGGAGTTGTCAGTCTGGAAGAAATTTAATTTTCAATTTCAAGGCATTTGACTCGGTATTGGACCACAAATCCCAATAAAAATATTACCTGCGGAGCATTTTCACCTTTCAAAATTTTTTGTTCGGGAATGGAGTTGCTGTCACTCTCAAATGAATATAATTTTCCGAGGCATTTGACCTTGAACCCCAAAAAAATTTCGCCTGTGACGCATTCTTCACATTGCACAAAATTTGTCTTCTTGAGTTTTTCGATCCCCCCCCCCCTTATGGTATTCACTGAATTGACGCCTCTGTTGTATCGGTGGTAACCTCGGTGGTAACGGTATAGAGGGGGTAGGTTTTACGCTTTTACGGTAGGAAGACCGAGGGGTAAGTAGACCTAGCCTCGACCCTCGACCTAGACCATGCACGAAACTACTTTCTATTCTCACCTTCAATATAAACGTTCGCCTTTAGACAGCCTCATCCATCAACAAACACGACGATGAAATATTGCATATTATAAATTATTACAACGCGAATCACGAAATATATATTACTTGCGATGCTTATCTCGCATCAACAGCTCAACAAAGTCAAAATTTTCAATTGTTTGGGAATCACTACCGAAAACAAAAAACAACCAACCACGCACACTTCGCGTACCTTACTTTTCTGCCCACGAAAACACGACTTCTATCTTCTCTGGCATGTCATGAAACTGTTGTGTAAGTTTTGTTTGGAATCTTTCGAATTATTTGAGAATGACTCGGTCTCGGTGCCTTCGTGCTTCGGTCACAGTCCTCGGTAATCTCGGTATACAGCGTTCACGAGAAAGAGCGGAGGCAAGCGAACAAAACGGTCTTTTGATGCACAGTCAGCACAGTCACAGATCCGCAGATGCAATCTGTGCTGGTGCGTGGATGCAATACGAGAATACGCATGCAACATTGCAAGATACCCAGCGAGCACAAAAACATCTCAGAGATGTTAAAAGTACGAGATTTCGAGACATTGAACCTCCACTGCGATGTTCTGTTCACACATGAATAGAACTATTATAGAACAGCCAATGTCCGCCGCAGGCGGCAATTATCGAGATGTCCTTGATATGTCACAAAACTACCTTCTCCCTTGTTCTTTTTAAAGCCTTTTCATGGTCACAACAGAACATTTTCAACGCGTCTTGCGCACATTAAATCGCTGTAAAAAAACATTTTCGAGGTACCTTTCTGAAGCCTTTTGTCAAAATGAACTTTTGCATTAGGATTCCATTTTCCTTGAATGAAAAAATGCATTAAAAAAAGATTGAACATAAAAATATTTTCTTGATATGAAATTACCTTCCTAATCGGTTTCTGAGTAGTGCTTACTACACACAGACATATAATTGGAAATAGGTTTCCCAATTTTTGAAATGTTCTCAACAATGCATAATTTCGCAACTGCGGAGAAGCTGTGTATTGATAAATTCGTACTTTTATATATTGATTACACTGAGGCACCGAACAACACATCTTGCATCTGATGGTCATTATTACAAACTAAATAAGTCTTCTAACACAATAAACTTCACCAAATTCCTTTCTGTTCGTTAGCAGCGTGATGTAAGCGTGACGTGACACGCTGCAAACGCGAATGCCAATTGCGAACAAGAAGAACAAAATCGAAAACAAATCAGAATTCATCGTATTGTGACGTAAGCATGAGACGTTGTGGTGGGGCAAACAAAGAAAGGGCACAAAAGAACAAAAACAATATTTTCAATATATCCTTCTAAGACCTCTTTGGGAAGTGCATATTACGCCTCAAAAAAACATCCTCATGCCTACATTTCTAAAACATCCCAAAACATCCCAGGGATACCTCTCAGTAGGCAAACAAAGAAATGCCACAGAAGAACAAAAACAATACTTCAATATCCTTCAAAGACCTCTTTGGTCAGTGCATATTACATCTCAAAATAACATCTTCATGCCAACATTTTCAAAACATCCCAAAACATCCCAGGGATGTTTGTGCTCGCTGGGTATGCTACACTCACCGGCAAAAAAAAACCGACCAGCAAAAGATTTAGCCAAATTGATCGCCCTGTATGCTTGGTTTATAGATTCAATTAAATTAACAATTAACAATCAACAATTAAGTGTGGATTTATGCAGCACCAATTTACAATTATTAGCAAGTAAGGAGTAGCTAAAATGTTACCATTTATGTAGACCAAATCAACAATTGAAAATAAAAAATACGCAGGCGCAGAAGTCCATTCCAATCCATTCAAGATATCCGTAGACATTTTGTTCATAATATATTAGACACCTTTTTTTTTTATCGCTTGGAGCGCACGAAAGGGAACATCGTGCGTTCCTAGGGAGGATAGGGATAGGAGGTAGGTATTGGAATTTTTTTTGAACTTCTGGAGATTATAGGTTGTTGGGAATACTTCATCAGGCAATGAATTCCAGAGCCTATAGCCCTTCTATGGATGAAGGAGTTTTGATAAAGTGCTGTTCGACATCTTTCGAGGTTGACAACGAAAGGATGTGCTGACTGGGCTTGTCTAGTTCGTCTGACTGGTATTGCTAGTGAAGGGATGATAGCAGAGATTTCCGAAGCACATTTCCCGTGGAAGTATCGATAGAAAAGTGAAAGGTCGCCGACCTTTCTACGGTGTTCCAATGATGTCAAAGAGTGAGTGAGTGGGGCTAATCCCAAAAAATCTGGAATAATGAATGTACCACCTCCTCGATTAACCTATAGAGACAATATTTGCATTTTTATGTTGAGAACGGGAGCAGATTCGTTCCCGAAACGTCCAAAGATAAGTTGAAATTCGATATTTTTCCAATATGCTTGATGTGATCATTATAATATACCAATTTTCGAGAAATGGATCAAAAATTTGAGATGACAATGGGAATCATTATGCTCAGAGAAATGTTCCTCTTTTTTTTACCATTATTTATATTTCCAGGGATGAAGATATGGATCATGATGAGAAATGTCTTAACTTCAATTTCATTAATTTTTGGTTGACCTATAGAGAGATCTTCCTGTAGAAGTTACAACGATGAAACTTCATATCTAAGTATTCGATATGTTCCTTCATTGAATGATCACTTCACCGTCTATATCATCTCCTTAGATTTTGATACAGGGTGAGTCGAAAAATTAAAAATATCAAAATTTGCCATTGAATAACTAACATCCTGTATGAGATTTCGTGTTGAAATTTCGTATAGGGGTATTTCAGCTATGCCTGAATCGAAGAGGCTTAGTCACTGTTACGGGAAAAAATTGTATAATAGTCGCTTTTGAAATGTTAACCCTTCAACGAACAATTTTGCAATTCGTTATATCGAACGAGACATAGTCGAAAACATGTTTGCGTAGGCGCCTATTCAATAATTTTCAGAACTGACGATTTAAATCTGACATGTTGACAATAATTCGGTAATGTCAGAGTGACAAGCGTATCCACACTCTTTGAAGGGTGTGTGTGTGAGATGTTCGAGGAACTCCATCTAAAACTAGGTCGAAACACACCACTTGAATGATTTGTATTCAGAATGAAAAAACTTCCAGAATATGTAAACACATAATCAGAACTGTATTTGAAAAATAATGGAAGATGATTCTAAGAATACAAAACGTTGGATGGAGAAATCAACATCACCAGTTTGAATTTCATCAGAAGTTGCTATGGAAAAGTATTTTCAGTTCCACTGCTCCTCTCCATGCAATGAAAAGATTTTCCAAAAATTATAACGTTTTTAGATATACCTCTATACTTAACGGAGAAAATATGAATACATTTCAAATTTTTCTGAAGCTATTGAAATAACAACGCAAACGCGCATTTTTCTCCCATTCAACCGAATTTTCATCTCCCATACTGCTTCCGAGATATATTTATAAAAATGTTGAATAAAAACATCTTTATACAGGGTGTTCCTTGAAGACATGCTAATATTTAAGGGGGTGACCCATTTTGAGATAAAATCTTCATATTAATGTATGTCTTAAAAGTCTTAACTTTCGAGATACAGGGCGATAAAGTTTTGAAAAGAAATTGAAATTTCAATTGACTTCATCTTCTCAAACTATCATCCATTAACCCTCTGGAGGTCAACATAGTATCAGCTCTCGATAATGAAAAACTATCAGGAAATTAACTGATGTATCTCTCTTGAATCCAAAACTGTCACCATATCTTCATGATTGTCAATGTTACAAAATTGAATCTTGGTTAATAAACGGGCTTGAAACTTGATATCCCATCATTGAAAAAATCTACATCCTTGATAATCTTAATAATACAATGAGAAACATCAAAACTTATCAGTGAAACTGAACACATTATTTTCTTTTACAGATTTTTATAAAAATTGTAAAACACATTCCTTCTTTTGAATCAAAGAAATCAATCCATTTTTATTCACTTCTGTGACTCCAGGTGTTTTTGAATAGGTGGGCTCGAGATTTATATTCACGATGTCTAGTTTTCTTCTAGTAATCGGAATCCAAGCTTTATCAAACCCTTGCTGGTCGTAAGTATGATATCTTATAAAATGCAACACATTGATTTTCTTTGTCCAATTTGAGAACTCTTATATCGAACAATATTTTGGTATGTTCACATAATATGAATCAGCTGCCATTCTTTTGATGTCGTTGAAGTCCTGTGGGGTACCAGTTTTTTTAGCGGTTCGTATGATGCTTGCATACTGATCTGGAGAAAAAATTGAACCAGTTTTTTTGAATTTACTTATTTCCCACTCAATAGTTGCGTGAAATATATCGCCTTCATTCTTAATTCTTCAACCTTGTTGGTAAATCATCAGTATTATTTTTCATCACAAATTGAAATCAAACAAATCTGGAAACATTTGATATAAGTAATTTTATTTTCGAGCGAATACAGTTACATCACTGAAAAAATGTAACCTAAAACAATATTGAAGTGGAAAAATATGTCGAAAATAGATACAACTAAAAATTGTGTGATGATATGAACTTTTGGAGAAATGGTGTTACATTTCAAGTTATAACTTCATTGAAGAGAAGGATGGTTCGCATATAGTAATCACCTTTGCAAAAATGTTGCAAACTTAGATGGAACGGTCTTCCCAATTGATATGTCCCAAAATTTGATTCTTCCAGAGAGATACATGTCGCCATCTCTCGGCCGCTGAATGAAGCTCACATGTTACATTATTTTCCATAAAAGTATGCAAGATTTGAATGCCATTTTGAAGAGAAACTCAGAAATGTGAAATTTTGAGTTGTAACTCTCTTCTTCCGGATGAACGATATCAATTACTGGATAACCACAGCATGTAACATTTCGAAATTTTTGCACCGTTTCAGTAATATAGCAGAATTTTTTCATGACGAAAAGCGATACAGGGTGGACAAAAAAATAATCTATGCATATTTTGACACCCTGTATCTCAAAAGTTAGGACGTTTACGACATACGTTTATATGAAGTTTTATTCTTGGAATGGGTCCAAGAATCGCCCCCTTGAATATTAGCATGTCATTAAGGAACACCCTGTATATACTCGATAGGCGATAAATAGAACACAACTATACAGGGTGGTCCGTTTTTTAATACGGAAAATTCAACAGCGTATAGTACTCGTTAAAATGATAAATAAAAAAAGTCGTTATTGTTGTCAACTTTATTTAAGATAAATTCCGAAAAATACACTCTCTTCTCAAGATCTTCAGGATGTAAATGTTGTACCGGCATCAAATGAAAAGGCTTTCTGTGATCTAAATGTAGTGTTCGTAAAATTTTCGATTTTGATACCTGAAAAAAAGTCGAAACCATTACTTTTATTTATGCGTGCAATAGTATAAACTGATAACTAGTATTTAAAGAAAAAAGAGAACCAAAATTACTAAAAGCATGACATGATATTAGTTTTTAAACGAGTTTTTAAATTACCCGCAACTGTTGAGCTGCTTTTCTAGAACTGATTTGTTGGTTAACATCAAAACATCTAAGAATGTGATTGTCATCATTTCTTCTCAGTGGGCCATTATTTCGGTATTGTTCATTATTGCCACGTAACCCAAACTGACGGAAACGTGAGTGAGTATTGATAAAGACTCGTGCATTAGGTACCCTTCTCCTAGGGAAGCGATTTCTGTATTCCCGAACTGCTGCCTTTGCGTTTCCATTACAAAATCCGCGTAAACGAGATGAATATCTGCATACTCTTCAGTACTAAATCCCATAGGCATATTGACAAACGGCAAAATTGGAATAAAATTATTACACTTTTTGATAAAAACACGGAATAACTCCAGTTTGTTATTTCTTTGACAAAACTTTCAGAGTGACAGCACATATAAACAGTGAACAGTGAGCAACTGAGCATAGCCTACTTCTTTAATTGATATCAAGTAGTATTATTTAACTGAAAAATCCTACAAGCGAGCTTTTCTCATTGAAACTTGAAAAATAAATGAAAAATAATTACCCGAAAAATTTGTGTAATTATTACCTTCGTCACCCCAGATTCAGCCGCCACTGAATAGTTTTTATGAATAATTTTTATTTAATCTAATAAAGCTCAAAAACTTTAGTATCTGTGAAAAATTTCGTTAATTTAACTACCGTTTCTAACTTTTGATTAAAAAAATATATTCAGAAGAGTATTTTTGACACCCAATATCTCAAAAACGAAGCGTTTAAAACAATATGTTCATAGGAAGTTTTTTCATTATTTCAACGAGTACTTTACTCTGTTAAATTTTCCGTATTAAAAAACGGACTACCCTGTATATAAGAGAAAAATCAAAGTCGAGAACAATATTAATCACGTCTTGAATTGACTCGGTATGGTGAATGTAAGAACTTCACAAACTATAAGATTTCTACAAAATTCTCAAACACACGACATGTTTCGCTAACACAGTATAGCTTCGTCAGATAATATACTGGTACAATGAACTAAACTAACCTTGGCTTGCTTATGCTTATATTTTATATATCCTATACTTTCCCAACCTGTAGGATTAGTTACCTGTGGCAAAGCTTTTTGCCTGTGGACAGGTTTGATAAACCTTCATATTCGGAAATTAGACACAATATTAACATTCGAATACGGATTAACTTGTAAGGGTTGATAGCAAATGCAAATATTATTACCTACTAAGAAAACAAATTCAACAGTGGTGAACTATTGAGGTCTAATTGTTCTGTCATAATTTTTGAGTCTGTTGATTACTAATGATACAAAATGATTGAGTCTTATTCCTTTATTTTCTATTTTTCTACGTATAGAATTTCGCAATTATCATCAAAACTGTGGTTTTCTTCAAATAAATATTAATCACTTCATTTGTTGATCCAAAAGGAAGGCCCATAATATAAGACACAATCGAATTGATATACAGAGTATAGACTATGAGATTAATCGTTGACGAAAATGGCATTTGTCTGGAATCAGTGCCTTGAAAAATGTTTCCCTTACCGCGGCCTCCGGCCCCGATTCCGGTTGCCCGCCGGTCCTGTTGTGGGTTCTGTCCGGGCCTGTACGAACCTTGGCAAAATTTACAAAATTATTGTGCTTACGCCATCTGCAAATCGAAGGACGAACTTCGAACTGAATAGTATTCGATGATTTGTTCCTGTATGAGCTAGTGTGTAGAGTCATGGTAGAGCTAATAAAGAAAACTGCCGACGTGCTCGTCACATGATGACGTCACGTTAGTGGTTTGGGACTTCGCTAATTTTGAAATGACATTTTCTGAAATCGAAATTATATTTATATTAGAAAAATGTATTGTAATTCAAGTAACAGCATCAATTTAACGAACGATTGAACCCTTTCGCATCCTAGAAAGTTCCTCTCAATCCCAGTCATGATCATTTATAAAAAATAAAAATAAATTGTCATTGTACTACTTCAGAAACGACTGCCATGATTGATTTTAGCGTTGTTTCAAGATTGTTCCCGAACAAAAGTTTACGTTAATTGTGGGAAATCACAGTGATTTCCAAGTTGGTTATTGTGATATAAGATATAAGGAAGTTAGCAGTTTCTTAGATTTCCGTAATAATAGCAACGTAAGTCATATTGAAGAAAAAACTACATTGTGTCAAGAACTTCCTTTCAATGGCTACCCGTAACGCCGTAGTTGTGCAGCCAGCATTTGTTTATAGCTTTATTGAATTGTTTTGTTATTTTCAGGTTTGAAATGACGATAAATTCAATTTTTAGAAGCTAAGGATGCCAATTCATTTACTATTGTGATTAATGAGTGAGCAATGTGAGCATGGAGAATTAAAAAATTCATCAATTTTCTTTGTTGCTCGGTAACTGACCTTGAAATTCTGTAACCTTTTAAAATGTCTGGGCACCGCAGCTAACCTCACAGTTTGTTTACATTTTGTAAAACTGTATGGAGTACAAAATAATCATTTAGGAGTTGAATTGAACAGCTTGAAAGATGTAAATTTCAACAAACACCTAAATTACAGTATTCAGAATGGTTGTGGATGTGTCTGTGAGGAGTTTTCAAACTTACAAAATGCAACCAACTGGTATGAATCCAAAGGAATTGTCTGATAATGATGATATTGCCACCTCAGTGGTTTTGGATCCCCATTTGGGGTTTACCACCCACAAAATGAACATACGTTTCCGATCTCCAAGAACTAATAATGCAGAGCTCAAAAATATAATTGATGATTTTATTTGTAATCAGGATTATGATGAAGCTTTCACTAAAATCACAAAGGGAGAATGGTTACCTAGGATAAAATCAAAGAATATGTCAAAGAAGTTGGAAGATCATGTAAGTAAAGTAATATCTTGGCTCTGAAACAATTGCAGTAGAGAACAAAATGATGATTGTCAGTGCCTTTGATTATCCCAATTATATTTCAGATAGTTACTAGAGTTTCCATCAATTATTTTTCTATTGCAGATTTACAGATATTTGAGGGTGTTTGATAAGGACTCTGGATTTGTGATTGAGCCATGCTATAGATATTCTCTGGAAGGTCAGAAAGGGGCTAAAATATCATCTACCAAAAAATGGTACAAAAATGAGAAAATTGAGTGTTTAGTTGGGTGCATAGCTGAACTAACTGAAGAAGAAGAGAAACAGCTGCTCCACCCTGGCAAAAATGACTTTTCTGTGATGTACAGTTGCAGAAAAAATTGTGCACAACTGTGGTTAGGTCCTGCTGCTTATATTAACCATGATTGCAGGGCAAATTGTAAGTTTGTGGCAACTGGACGTGATACAGCTTGTGTCAAAGTGCTTAGAGACATTGAATTTGGTGAAGAAATAACTTGTTTTTATGGTGAGGATTTTTTTGGGGATAAGAACTGTTATTGTGAGTGTGAAACTTGTGAAAGGAGAAAGACAGGTGCTTTTGCTAAAGAAGCAGACCAGAAAGAGGAAAATGGTTATAAATTAAGGGAGACTGACAACCGCATTAACAGAACTAAGGTCAAGGTACATGGTGTTGGTAATAAGGTGATGGGTTGTCATGACCATTTACAGGAAAATGGTAAAATCATGACTCCTTTGAGTATTAGAGAGTTGCGCCAAAAAGGCCTAACAAAATATGATGCAGAATTGCTCATTGCTCAAGGCTGTAAGTTTTCTGATATAGGTGATTTTAACCATAAAAAAGAACAAAAAAGTGTATATAAACCTACAAGAAAGTGTACAAATAGAACTAAAAAATCTGTGATAAATGAAACAAACACTACTTCAACCATTAGCACTAGGGCTTCAAGGATGCAGAGACGTAATGCCAGTCAGGCAAACCATGAGCTTATGCAAGCTGCCACAAGGACTCTGTCCCGTTCCAATCTTTTAGATGATCTCCAAAGTAATGCCAGTAGCTGTCCAAGTACTTTTAGTGATAATGATCCAGTGTGTGATGCTGCACAAGAAGAAAACAAGTTCAATGATAGGCATGAGAGTGGCAATGGAGTATTCCAAACAGGTAAATGAAAAACCATAATAATAATTGTATATCAGATGAACTAACTTTAAGAATTTGAATAATGTATGCACCTTCAAACTTGTCATTGATGGGGAATGTTTTTTTATTCTATAACTTCATGAAAAACAAATCTTGGTAACACTTTTTACAAACACATAGTGTAAATCTAATTCTCTAATTCAATTCAGTAAAAAATAACAATAACAACATCAGAACTTCTCATGAATAATTTTAAAAAATCACTACAAAAGTGCTGACAGTGCTGAAAGATGAATCTGCACTTTCAGATTCTGGCTCTTAGTTTCCTTGTTTGTATGATCATCAATTTGTATTTCCCAAAATTTAGCCAAAGTTCCTTGCATTGCCTAGTATTTACAGATATTTCCTGGCATTTCCCCAAATTTCCTTACATTGCCCCATATTTCCCAGTTTATCCCATATTTACCAATACTTATTGCTTTGTATTTTCATGAGTAATTTCAGGATATATCCTGGCATTGCCCAAAAGGTCCCAACATTATCTTGTTTATCTTGTTATGGCCCCATATTTCCTGGTATTACCCTGTATTCCCTTATCACAATATTTTGCTGACAAGCATTTACCCCCACATGACCCCTTTTTTGAATTTTTGTAAAAAAACTTCCAATGAATGCATTCCACCCATAGAGAACATGAGCTGAGCTTAAAAAGGGGTGTGTATAATTTGAGGACTGGAATAAAATTCTGTGGACTGGCTATTTCCAGCAAATGGATCATTGTTTTCATAGCATATCTGGATTCAGCTCATTGAACTACATGATATAAAGTTACTGATTTTTTTCACTGTCCCCCCTGGGGAGCAATTTACTAGTGTTTTTTCATAAAATCTAGAAAAGTCAAATCATCTCAATTTTCACAAAAATCGATTTATCTCTTGAAAATACAGGATGAAAAGTTTTGGAAATGTTTCCCTAGCCCCCTTCCATGGGGAGCACTTTACTCATGTTTTTTTTCATAAAAACTTGTGGACTGGGTATTGGTAAATTGATTTTTGAGAAAATTGAGATGACCTGACTTGCAAAAATACCAAGTCAGCAAGATTTTATGAAAAAACACAGGAGTAAAGTGTTCCCCAGGGGGCTTGGGTAAAATTTAAAAAACTTTTCATAGTGTATTTTCTTGAGATAAATTGATTTTTGAGAAAATTGCAAAAATTCCCAGTCTCTTTGATTTCATGAAAAAACACATGAGTAAAGTGCTCTCCAGGGGGGCTAGGGAAAAATTTCAAAAACTTTTCATTGTGTATTTACCGAGGTATTTACATTAGGTCGATTTATTTTTGGGAAAATTGAGATGCTTAAACTTGCAAAAATACCCAGTCCCCAAGATTTCATAAAAAAAACGCAGAAGTAAAGTGCTCCCCAGGCTAGGGAAAAATTTTAAAAACTTTTTATCATGTTTGTTAAGCTGAATGCAGATATGCAATAAGAACAATGATTTGTTTGCTGGAAATAGCCAGTCCTCAGCATTTTTTTCAAGTCCGCAAATTATACACATCTGCTTAAAACCAAAATAAAATAAATAAATCATATTACCATCCCTGACATTCTCAAAAATTTCAAGAATATACATAGGAGGGTTGCTGAGTTCTCAAAATGTCTTGCCAAGATATCTGAATGATACTTTCTTTTCCTAAACTTGAAGTGGCCCTAATTAGTTCTGGCACTATTTTGTAGAACCTATTTCGCCGGGCGTTTTTTTTTCTTCAGAGCCCTGATTTTATAATTCTCATGAGCTACATGTCAATTCCAATTCTGAAATTAGAAGTTACATGTCTCAATCCCGTGATGAAATCTCAAATTCAATTATAAATTCTGGCTTCTGACAGACGCCTATGCCAGATTTCTGAGTTTGTTGTCAGACTTATTAATTATTAAATCAGATCACAAGATAATTGTATTCCCATTACTCCGACTTTTAGGAGGGTGGAGCCAGGGGGGGGGTCATAGAGGTCATGCCCCCACCCCTAATCAAGTATTAAAGAAATCTACATACATACTGACTGATAAAAACGCCTCTAGGCATAGCGTTGCTATTAATGATTCCATTTTGGAACAAACAAGCGAATTAAATTAATCATCAGATAATAGGTGATTGGACTAATTCATTTTAATTTCTTAAATACCTTTCAATTCCATATTTTTAAAGAATTTTTCGGTCGATTTTAGTGTGCTTAAATCATCAATAATGCCACGGTGATTTTCAAACGGCTAGATATTTACTGCCAGTAAAAACTGACTCCACGATTTCATAAGTAGGGGCAGATTATTGCACAGTTGTCATGTGTTGAAATACGATTGGGAATTTCAGAAATATTAGTTATTTGATAATTCATAAATTCTCAATCGAGCATTGTAATACTCCCAATTAGCAGTAAAAATGCAATTGTATCAAAATGTTCCTTAATGATTTATGGCTCACTGCCTTATTATTATGTATAAATAATAATTATATTAATTCACACTATAGAGGACATTTGAATCGGTGAACGTGACAACCACGGCGCACGAATTGTGGGCGTGGTCCTATCAGTTCTCAGCATTCAGCACAATGTTGCCAAGTCTCCAACGTTCACATGATATTATGTTATGGAGAATAAGAAATATTTGGACATGCTGGTTGCTCGAAAAATTGAAAAATGAATCATGAGTTCCTCCTATTATGTATTATTCAACGACAGGCTGTAGCCCCGGATGCCCTTTCCTAAATCCGGCACTGCAATGATGTATGACAATTTAACTTTTGAACAGAATTTGTTGAAATTCGAGGATGCATCATTAAAAGTGATAGTTAATATCATTGGAATGAATGTCAGATTGTTTCATTTGTCTGATATTTCAATACAACATACATGATCAAGTGTGCTGTGAAAAAAATTTTAATATTCAAACTGGCCGTCCTTATGATAAATCGATGTTAAACACACAATTAACACATACATACATATGGTGTGGAAATATCTGACAAATGAACTATTGACCGCCACATTCATGATACATCCAAACACTATTTCTGTTCTAAAATCTTGAATAAAAAAAAACATATAGAGGTACAAAGTGTCATTTGATAAAAAAATTCAGTCGCTTTCAGTTGAAATTTGAAAAATTTCCAGCGTTTTTTGTTTATTAGCCTGTATATTTACATGTGTGTACATTGTACATTTTCGTAGGAATAGTTCACTCCCAATTTCATTCCTTACTGGAGGTGGTGAATGATAGCTCATTTGAAAGAGGGTTTTATTCTCTACTCAACTGTGCAAAAAAATTGAAATTTTCTCCATTTATAATTCAAGACTTATAAATGTTTGAGAATAACGACATTAACGTAGCGCACTCACCCTTAGAATTACAAATTCGCCCTGTATGGTATAATATCGGTGTTGGGTCAGACGTCAAGTGAGACGTATTTGTCATGTGCGTAGATATTAACTGCACGTTTTCGAATAAATGGTCAATACAAGAAAATGATATCATGGAGAGTGCGAGTCAATGTATTCTAGCTGTGAGTTGTGCTTGTTATTCATCTTCAAACAACAGTTGCACCACGTGAGATAAATGAGAAGTGCAAAGCGATTGTTATTTTTGGTGAAGCTCATCACAATTATCATGAGGCGGTACGAATGTTCAATAAACGTTTTCCAGATCGCCCTATTGATAGACATTATTTCAAACAGTTAGTGCAACAATTTTATGAGAGTGGCAGTGTGCAAAATAAACCACGTACTGGGTGATCAACTACAGGAGAAGATAAACAAGTGGACATTATGAGCGAGTTTGTGATTAATCCGTCCTCATCCAGTAGAACTGTTGCAGTGGCGTAACTACCATAAGACAAGTGAGCGCAATGCGTTGGGGCCCCCAAGCTTGGCGGGCCCACTCGTCGGACTTTAATGAAAAAAAAAAAAACTGGAATATGAGAATATTTGAAACAGTTCCTAATATTGTAGGTTTTTTTCAACTGAATCTAGGGACACTTCTGTCAAGCAAACATTATTTTTACTATGTTCTGCATTAGTTCTGGGCGCGACTCATGATGCAGACGGTCAGCGGTCAGTTAACAAATAGATTTACAGGGTTCAATAAAGTGAGTGATATCTTTTTATTTTCACAACCTAAAAATTTCATAAATTCAACAGGGTCGGAAATCCTTGAGAGGTGTGACTACATTAAAAAAATTTTTTCTCAAATCATATCACCAAATATGTCTTCACAATTTATTAACATGGTTACATTGTTGAAATCAGAGTTAAATCCAGAAGTCTGTAAAAAATTTTGCCGATTTATTTTTAATGAAATATAATTATTTGGAGTGTGACTTTCCACAAGTTTATATTGTCCCATTATTATTTTTGATATGCCAATTACATCTGCGTTAGCTGAAAGATCATTTAGTGAATTGAAACTGATCAAAAGTTATCTGAGGAATCAAATAGGGCAAGAGCGATTAAAATATTCATCTTTAATTTCCATCGAAAGTGAAGCTGCCAACAAATTAGACCTGAGAGAGATTTGATAAATGAATCTGCAATGTGTAAAGCAAAAAAAAAAACATTTATCGTTCAATAATTTTAGTTTGAATGTAAAGTGGAAGGTATTTGAAGTTTTGTTTTTATTCAATGAAAAACCACGTTGAGTTTCATTTCACTCAGAAAAGTTATTTTCAGTTTTTTTTTATTTATGAAAAAAAAAATGTTGTTACTCATTGTTGTAGTATAATTATGTAAAATAAAATATTTGAAAAATAATGCCTGTTTAGTTCCTTGTTTTATTTTTTTTACTATTTGTGACTGAAAGGGGGCCCCCCTATGTATTTTGCGTTGGGGCCAAAAAAATCTAGTTACGCCACTGACCTGTTGCCTTGGATTGTGAGGTTTCGCCAATGACAGTATTGAGAGTTCTAAAAAAAAAAATCTCATCCCTACAAAATGAAAATGGTGCATGAACTGACGGAAGATGATCCA